GAATTGGAATCGATATGAATGGTTCGGTTCGATTTTTTAACCTATGTTGATTTTTTTTTTGTCATCACAGTTTTTTATGATTTATTTTGTCACAGTTCGATTCGGTTCCACGATTTTTATGCCCACCCCTACCTCCAGCTCAATTCAATTCACTGGGCTCCAGGGGAATCCAGTTGGTCACCCAGGCAAAAATCGATAGGCCCAGGTCCCAGGTGCAGTGATGCAAGGTTTACGTCACCATGACGTCATCCATTATTAAAAAAATAATAAAAAATCATTAAAGATACAAAAAATTAATTAAAATTAAAAAAATGTATATTAAAAAAATTATTTACTACCCCACTCGTAAGGGTGGGGCGCCCTTACTAACCTGAGGGGCATAGGGCGTGCTTAATGTTACTTCATAAGAGTGGTGAACAAATTTCAAATACTATACCTCACTTGATCGAAGCTCCATCACCTATCAATTGCTTTAATGCCTTGGGCAGTTACTGTTCACTAAGGTGATTGAGTTGCCTATAGCCCAGGGGAGGTTATCAACGCTGGAACTGCTCTCAACTCAGTCACCCCTGCCAGCTTCCTCTCGACATCGACCTCACCCACCTCACCGCGACGCCGTCGCTTCTCGATGTCGACCTCACCCACCTTGCTGTCACCCCTGCGAGTTTCCTCCTGCCGTCTCGACAACCGACCTCACCAACTATCTACACCACTCTTGTAATATATAGAGACAATTTGTGTATCATTCAGAACGGAAGTATTAATGAAATTATAATACGAACGGCAAAGCCTCTGCTCAAGTTTGATGCTGGGATAAAGGATTTAATTAAAAGACTAACTTGGGTTGACCAACTGTTGATCCTAGAAATTCCATAACCTATGAGGAGCACATGCTAAGTAACTAACGAGCTAACTACGTCCTTATGTGGATAGTTCTTGATGTGGGTGTGCCGATTCGCTACTGAGCGCAGTCGGGTGAATGAGATGAATGTGGTGGTGCGGTAACGATAGCGCATGCTGACTTCTGCAGCGATCAACTTCGGCATAGGAAGGAATACTCTTGGGCTTGAGTTCTAAAACCTGAAGAAAAGGTTTTGCAATTCACTACTAAGTTCAGGACATTCTGCATCGAGTTCGGCCACATCAACTATGTTTGTTAAAATATAAGTGTGCCGAACAGGAATCAAGCTGTAGGTGATAGGATTTTTACCACCTACAAAAGTAGGGATAAAAACATTTAAAAATAATTGCAAGAGAACAATGTAGTTGTGGTATAAACTGCTTAAGTAATGTCGTTCTCCCAGGGATTGAATGAATCATTTGTATTTAAACTAATCCTTAGCTAATTATTTGAAACAAAGTTTCGAAAAGGTTGATTTTGGAATTTAAAATCACAAAAACAATTTTTAAATAAAAACAATTAAATAATTGGCAAAGTGAAATTTACTAAAAGAAAACGGTTTTGAAAATCAATTTAAGCACTAGGGTTCCGCCGTCACCATTAACAATCATATGCAATTTTACCAATTACTTATGAATTTCCACATACATGCTTTGAATGTTAGGTTTTCCTAATGCATATTTTCCTCGTGATGTTCAAGTGAAAACGTATATCTAACATGCAACTGTTTGATGTTTAGATCAAACATACACATGCAAGACTCATTAAGCTTTGTGAAAACCCTTTGAAAAACCATACAACCCTTAAGAGCATGATGTTCGCCTTAAGTGAACTTATAATTACTAATCACAAGAAGTCCTCCTCAATTTCAAAGCAAGCATGCATCCATTCATGAGTAAATTAATAAAATCACATATTCATTCTAAAGCTCATGGCCTCGTCTGAGAAAAAGAACTAGTTACGCAAAATCATAATAAAAATTAAAGAAGATGTCATTAACTAGAAAAAGGGTTGAAAGCACATTGTAGGTAAAAAGTCTGAAATTCTCCAAAGCTTTACTAAGTTCTCTCAATGTGGCCTATAGAACTTTAATGGCTAAAAAGCCTTATTTATACTACTACAAATTAAAATCCTTAGTGGAAAATGATTTTTAAAAACTAAGAAATATAATAGCTAAAGGATAACTTAAAAACTAGGAAATATGCCCAACAGAGAAATAGCCACGTTTCTGGACCTTCAAGGCTCCAAAATAGGCCTAAAACAACTTGAATTAAAGATAAGGACCTCCTCTTCAAGTTTCAACAAGAGCCCAAGTCCAAATCCATCATCTTCTAGCCCAAAAGTCGCAAATAAACTTTGTAACTCAATCTACCAGCACCGCGCGCTGGGCACAAATCAATCTGCCACGATCAGATGCTTGGGGATAAAATTATGAAATTTTGATACAACCTTCTTGACATACTCACAAACCCTCTATAATTAGAACCACTCAAAAATTTCACCGTTTGATTACTTTATGGTCAAAATGGATTCACACGTCCTACATTGAAAATACATAACAAAACATCAAAATCTTGTCAAAATATACTAAGAATAAGGGAAAATATATAGTATAAAATTGACTCATCAGTGGGGACGGAAGATACTCTAAGGAGGTGAGTGTATTTACGGTAAAAGTGGTTTGGTCGTTTGAATGTTGAATTCTGAAATGCACTTATGAAAAGGAGATGAATGTTTTACGATACAAGTGGTTTAGTCGTCTAAATGCTTAACTCTAAAATGCACTTATGAGCAACTACTTATAGAACACCTCACTTCGCAGGGTATATTGATGAAGTGACTTGTTTCGGTGAAAGAATCAAAGACTCTTCGTTAGCTGAGACTTAGGATAAATAATCAACCGAAATAGAAGTAGTGTTGCTTAACCAAACTGAAGTTACTCCTAGACTGACTAATTCTACATCTCCAAAGATGTTCAACCAAATTGAATTTGTGCTTACAGAGGTTAGTGAAGCAGTTTGTGTTTTTTCTCAGAATATGAGAGGGTTTTATGTAGAGTGTTTGTTTGTGTGTTGAGTTGGAGGTCCTCTCTATGTTGTAAAACCACTTTTATTTATAAGGGTTAATTTCGTGATGACCAAGTTTGCTGAGTGGTACAACCTTATCAGGACAATGATTCCTTAGCACTTATCTCATCAAACCCCTTTCTTGCCGAGACTGTATCTCTACCTAGTCTCGACCTCTTCGACTTGTACTAGATTCTGAATCTAGTCTTTGATTCTTGGAATAATTCAAATCTTATCAAAACTCATTCTGATCCGTCAAAATTTCTAATTAATCTAGGACTCAACCGAGTTACACCTAAATCTAATCCTTTAGCAATCGCAATTCCACTAGGATTCGTTTCATCTGGACCCAAATCCTTGATTTCGGGGGCCCAAACACTAAGATACACAATCCATTCAACTATGCTATGTTTTTATTTATTTATTATTATTTTTTTGTTGTTACTCCACCCTGAGAATAGTTAAACAAAGAACTCATATTTTTGTTAATCTTCTTTGCTCCCTCTACTTCTGCTAGCTCTATATGTGTCTCCATCTTCAAATAATCACTCCATATTTCCTATATTTTGTTTCCTTCCTTTTCGTTCCAAATGACCAATTTTCAGATTGATATATTAAAAAAATTTAGGTAAAAAAAAATAAAAAACGAACTGAACCCATGCCGAGTTGGATAAAAGAAGCCTAAACAATAATTTTTGTTCAATTTTCAATTCCAACAAAAAACTGAACTGATTGGAACTGTAATCACCCTTACTTCTTAAAGAAGCACATAACAGAAAACACTTTGAAAATTTGGCAAAGTTAGAATAAAAAATTACATTGGTTTGATGATTGACGGGGCATTTTGCCATGTCATTGGCCTATTTGTGCCTTTTGTTACAAGTTGTCATGTTACATGACAACTTAAATACAAGCCAATCAGCCTAGAAAACCAAATGCCCAAATAGGCCTTTGGTTACAAGTTGTCATGTTACAAGTTGTTACAAGTTGTTAACAAAATGCCCATTTCAGTTGGGCCTTTTGTTACAGGTTGTTACAAGGTGTTAATAAAAGGCCAATTTCAGTTGTTAACAAAAGGCCCACTCAATTTGTTGCAAGTTGTACATGACTTATGTACAACTTAAATACAAGCCAATCAGCCTAAAAAACCAAAATTAATTTAAGGCCCATTTCAGCATTGTATGCTCTTTTAATTTACTAAACCTTTTTTTTATAACAAATTTACCAAAAAAAAAAACATCCGTAAATGGGTTAAGGATAAATTAATTTAATCATCTCCATTGATTTTTCCAAACTTAAGCTTATGATTGTGTGATCCATTAGATTCTAGCTACGGAGTTTTGAGCAATTAAAATTCTTATTAATTGATTATGTATTAAAAGTACTAATAATTCTCCATTTTATGATAATTGGTTATGGTTAATTCGCATGGCTCCCACAAGCTATGAGCAACACCTCGTACTATATCATGGTTACCTAAGCTAAGAAAAATGATACATAATCTATTTAGTTGGAAATGCAGTGCAATACAATCTCTTTATAATTCATTACTCTTAACCACGTTACTAGTGCACTAAACAAACCCGTGTCGATCCTCTAATGTGAATTCTCAAGTCCATATTATTCACATGAATATGATCGAAACTCTTAATCATATTCAAACACTTTGACCGGTGATTCCTAAATCATATCTTTGAGCATGTCGGACTCTTTACCACAAGTACAGATTCCACATTTCCTTCTTGTACGTTCTCATTCCTTGTTGGTTGAGTTTTACGTGTATGTCTTTTTTTCCTTCAGTGCAGTTTCTCATGTGGTCTAATCCAAGCAAGGTTTTCTGGAAGCTACTCTTTTATACATGCTACATACTCTTGTCCAAAATTTCTACACATTTCCATCAAGAACATTAATGCACAACTTTCTAAACGCATTCAAAAACAAAACATACCAAAGAGACTCTCGTACTGATAACGTGTTGTAAAATAAGCATAACATGAGTGCCTGCGAGTGCGAGGCGGGATCCAGTGTGAGAGTAGGCATATACCTGGCATAACATTCAATTCTATGGAGCAAAACTCAAAACATTGTTGCTGCCCAACACAATACAAATGAAAAGTTGTAGCATGCAGAAATAAAAGGGAAACTATACCTACTGCAACTAGCTTCCATATTTACAGGATCATTTATGTGCTCCACCTTAATCGCTTAACATTACCAAATCACCGGATGTTACGAGTCGATTCTGGAATTTACAAGCACTTTGTGAAGCTAATATATATGACAAATGCATAAAACTCATTGAAAACATCATGCACCTCACAGAGCCGCAACACGATCTAATTATCGGAATCCTTCACTTCGTAACATTCTCATTTATTAAAATAGCTAAGACAATGCTTCTACAAACAACGTGGAAAAGAAGCAAACATGCACCTCTGTTAACCAAATTTGAAGAAATTTTTTTCGAGGCTCTTTAAGCACATCAGGCCTCCTATTTTGCGCGCTTTGACGCGTCACCAAAAACCTCAGTGTAACATATTGGGCAAGCCTGATACAAGAAATACTTGTCAGCTAAAATTGAGGCATTGCTGATACAACTCCAATAGGTTATAAACACCAATATATTCCCCTTAAAAAATTAACAACAGCTTGCCTTGTTGATGCTAAGCCATCTGGTCCCACAACCAGCATGATAGAGGTGTTTGCACGGTAGAGCAATCCGCCGGTCCCCTCGTTTATATTCCATCTGGCAAATCACACATCTACATCCAACAAGGGGAATACAAGTAAATATGAAGTACATTTGGAAAGCTGCTCATACAATAGATGGCCTTTACAATCAACAGATGGCATATGAAATGAAAGGCCTCTCGGTAGGAAGCACAGAAAGATCCCAATAACTTCTAATAGGGGATGGGAACTAAATTGAAAAAATTACTCACCAATATGTAATTATGAGTATTCATCAATTTGAAACCACTAAATTTACCAAAATTCTATCCCATCCAATATTGTCGTCTCTGTATATTTTTCAAAGCAAACCACAAAATTGCATAAGACCCAAGTAGGTCACTGAAGTATGCAGCTGAAGAGCTAAAATCCAATCCCTACTTTTACGCTCCACAGTGCCAATACATGAAAAATCTAAAGTCATGCCCAAAGTTTACTTCAACATCCTACTGAAAAATGATCCAACATTTTATATCCTTGTGCAAAGAGAACCATTCGAGACTCATAAAATCATACAACCTGCTACAATACCTACCTTCACTCCCCAAGTAATCAATGTTCTATATGTTCTCCACAGAACACCCTACTAATGTAAACAGCACAATCCAGGACATTGAGATTTGAGCAAGGGAAAAAGTTGTTCTTGCAAAAATCAGTAGATAATAAACTTCCCACTTCTATGTTTAACCAAAAGAGATTCCATAAAACAGGACTTCAGAGAGAGAGAGAGTAATCACATTTTATCAAACGAACAACAAATAAGGGCAATGTATACCTCTCGTCTCGTGATTTCTTTCTCGAGAAAAAGCTGCATTTGTACTTCGAGATTGGAAGCAAGGAGATCTGATCTTGGGAGAGACCTCGATTTTGAGTGCCAACTGTCTCACCTAACTCAAGTAATTCCTGAACGTAAAGAACATTGTCAGTAACATTATACCAAATATATGTTAAGAAGCAAAATCATAAGCATGCAAATAAAAGGTTTTTAGTAAGCACTAGATGTTCCCATACGACACGACATTACAGACATACAACTACTAAAACTACCATCACAACTCGAGAACATTGTTCTACTTCAGAGATTCACTCACTAACGATTATATAGTAGGGTCCCCACCATGAATACAACTCTATAGCCAGATCCAAAGTCACATCGACAAGTGAAAGTCAGAGACTTAAGAAATTTGCAAGAATCTCCTCATTAAGAACAGAAATTACAAAAGGAGCCGTGCAATGATTGTTTAGCACACAAACAATCCTCCTTAAAATGAAGTAAATCTGTACCACCAAGAAAACATACACAAAACACAATTTAAATTTCCAAAGCTAGGGTGGTAGATTGAATTTGTTCCAGTATAAACCATGGCTAGCGTATCCATTTGTTATCATAAAATCTAAACAATACCTAATCCAGAGAAATGTTAAACAACAATTCAAAAAATAAGACAGATTACTTGAAATTATAATATAATTGTGTTATCCAAATTCTCAAGAGGAGAAGTGCAATTAGCTCTAACCTCGTAACTCATGATGTCAGGATCAATGTTGTCTTGCCAAATAACCTGCATATTTCACAGAAAATGCTCCAACTTAGTAATCTATTGAGCTCATTTTGTTTCACATAAAAAGTTTGAAAATGATAATGATGTAGAGAAAAATTCCAGGTATAAAAGCTTTGGTAAAGGTAATTTTGAAGTTATCACTGGAAACCAGGAAAAGGCCGGCCAAGGCTGTGATGATTTACTCATCTAACACTTCCATTCATGTTAAGCCAATCAATTCTACTCAGCCTTCAATATAGGTGCCCGTGTGCACATTTGTTGCACATACGCATACATGAATGCATTCGTGGTTATATGTATATACATACATTTAGAGAAAGACCCAGAGTATGGAGAAATAAATACCTGGTAATCATCGGAATTTTGATGTCTCCGTGGGCCTGAAATGTAAAGGATGATACTTAGATTGATAGAAAATATTTGAGTCTCAAATATATAGAAGTGACTTGGAACAGACCATATGACATTGGGAGCAAAGAGGATAGAAATGGAGGAGTAAATAGCAGCCAAACCAACAACTTTGGTTGGAAACATGTCTGTAGTACACAGTCCTTAAACATTGTAAGTTTATAATAAACAGTCACGGGGTAACAATCAGTGGTGCTACTCTACCTTTAGGCAACAATACGAAAAATGACAAACTTTATACCAATCAAACACGTAATTCTTATCTTCTTCTTCCCTAGAGGTATTATATAATTCATCTAACTCTATAAGTCACCACTAACATTACTTATTCTCTATGTCACTGGTCCCTCCAGGCCCGGTAATGTTTTAATCCACAATTTAGGAAAAATAGTAATAATAGAGAACGCTATTAGACTTTCCATAAACTGTGGAAACTCTATTGCCAGTGAACATACATGGTCACTTATTTGTTCAAAATAATAATTTTACCAGTCTTCACGGCTTCTTACAGAAAAGAGAAAACCGCAGAGCATAATCATGAAACTCCTCACCACCTGCAGCATCCATCCCCACCCCAAGAGAAGAAAGGAGAAAAGCAACACTACTAACTTACATTCTCTGGGATTGTGGCGTGTAGAAGTATTCACATTTCCTTCCCATTCTGAGTTCACAGCCACATTGTGTTCATTAGTCATTGTTGAAGCGCTCTGCAAATGCCTTCTTTGTTCCCCAGTTCTTGGGTCAGGACCATTGATCTCATAAGCATGACCAAACCCAAGATCATAGCATGAAGTAATATTCCCAGGTTCTGACAACCCAAACTTGTAATAATTTGTATTCATTGTTGGGTAAGCACTCTCCTACACATGTGAGAAGGAAATTGAAATTGAAAGAAATTTAAATAAATGAAAATACAGATAAACATTCCAAGGTTCAAAATTTGCATTATTGATGGTATAAAATTACACAAAAACTCCCTAGTTATGACTTTTGAGCAATCCTACTATGGAAACCCATATAAACTCCTTTCCATAAATGGGGGTAAGGCTAGCCGACATTCACCTCTCCCAGACCCTGCGTAAAGCGGGAGCCTTGTGCACTGGGTACGATGGTATAAAATTACACAAAAACTCCCTAGTTATGACTTTTGAGCAATCCTACTATGGAAACCCATATAAACTTCTTTCCAATGATGTACAACAATCCTACAGATCTAAATTTTGGAAACATAATAATTAAAGACAAACTAAACAAATCACCATGATTGGTGGTTGAAAAGAAAACCTTTGTGCAGATATTTAAGGTAAAGTACCTGAGCATGCGAATCGCCTGAAAAAATAAAGTTCACATGTTCATAGGTAAGACCCTCAAAATACTCCATAAAGCTACCCGCTGAGCTATAAGGACAGTTGGTGTAGGTGTAATGAACCTCCATGTGTGGGTTCCAACTCATTTTCAGCAACCGCAAGACAGACGAGGAATCTAAAGGGCACAAAGACAATACAAGAAATGAATATTTTACACTGAAGAAGAGACCATAAGGTTCCAAATAAAAAGTATCGGGAGAGATGTAAACCTGATCTTTCGACAAATTCTAGCACCCAATATCATATAAAATAATCCCAGACAGGCAACCGAAAAATGCAAATCAGTTTCTCACTTTCAGAAATTCCTGCAAATCAAAACAAACAATAAAAAAATCACCCAAGAGAAAAATCGAGCTGCGAATTAACAGACAGAGCACATAAATCAAGAGTTTAAGAATGCAACATTGCTGAAACAATGAAATCGAAGTTGTTCCAAATTCATATAGCTTCCCTTAGCTTCATACTTCAACCGGCATTGGTAGATCTAAGCAGATTTGTGAAATTACTAACAATGAATACATATACAGTTTGCTTGTACTTAATTAGGGAGCCTCCCGTCATTATCGCCAAAATTTTCCTTATGGTTAACTCTCTAATGGAATAGTTTTTCGTTCAAACAGACACAAAACAAATGGCTAAAACTAAACGAATCGCTATCAAAACCAAGGCATCATTATTACCACAACTAAATGTAAACTGCCGATTCCAACCAGATTGTTTTAATTTACAGATTAGCTAGAAACAAACTCCTAATTACGAAACAGAAACAAATTAAGAAATAAAATCACTAATAATTTGATCCAAACGCCGAAAAATTAGAAATAATAATAATAATAATATCATCGCATTTCCTGTACTTCCCTATCAACTTTCTCGGCAACCAAACGCAAAAGGAATGCCGCCAAATCTACCTCATTAGACGGCATTGATCTCAAAGAGCTCCCTAATCACACCAAATCAAGCAAAAACCAAGCCGGACAACAGAGAAAACCGAGAAAATGCGACGGAAAATGAGATGGCATGTATCAAACGGATCAGAGAAAGCTAAAACCAAAACAAATTAATAAAAAAAAATAAAAAAAGATTGAATCAACGAGGGAACAAAGAACCGACATTGCTGGCTTGTCTCCTCAGAAGCGCTTCTTCTTCAGCTTCTGCTTTTCTTTTCTGCTCTCTCTCTAGGTTGAGGTGAGAGAGGATGATGGTGGTGTATTTAGTAAGGGTGAGGAGGAGAGAGAGAGAATCCCCGAGTGACTGCCGTGGCTTTATGCAGTGGTTTCAGTGACACGCCAAGTCCGCTTGATGAGAGAAGGTTGGGATCTGCTGTCACGCGTCATATGCTAACACAATCATACCTCACATCGCATGTCTCTCTGGAGAGTCTGTTTCGCCCCCACCCACCCAAGTAATAATCCCACTTTCCGTTGTTTATGGACGTAAATGTTGTCATATTTCTTCGAGTTGACTGGTTTCTTTTAGGTATCTGGGTTCGAATTTATCCTCTCTCGATAACCATTTAAATTAGTGGTATTTCTTTTACATACGAGGAATTTTAGTTTTTATTTTATCTTGCATCTCTAACAAAAAAATGAATTAAAAAACTAAAATATCTCAAACATGTTCTTCTTTCCGTACAATCTTTTAAGTCTACAATCTAGTTCAAATTGTAACATGAAAAAATACAAACTATTCACGAACTTTATGAGCTGAAGGAATCAATGTCCAAGCTTGATTTGTTTCCTAATCGAGTAAAACTAAGCTTGTCTTGTTTCCTTCTTGAGCCGAACCCGACACAAGCTCGAGCTCTTTCATTTCAATTTACAACCCTAGGCTAAACTTATCATTTTATATTCAATTTCTAGGGTCATATTGTGTGATACCATATATATGGTTCGCATACACATTAATTGGTTGCACAATTCAATAAATGCGTTAAAGCATGTAAAATGATGTGTTGGGACTCAATTATTGAGCAAGACAAGAAAAAAATGATAAAAAGAGAAGAAAAGCAAGCATGCGAATGCCATGTGTGTAGATCGTAGAATGCGTGAGATGAAGCATTGATCATCGGAGTCATGAAAAGAGTTTGAAGCATGGGCTCCACAAGTCGAACCAAATGATCCAAATCCAAGATTGTGGTTGGAATTGCAATTAGTGGTTGGCTTACCAAATTGCCATTACATAAAAGGAGCATTAATTTGGTTGAAGACGGATCACCAAAACCATCTGACTCTCAACCCTAAAAGGAAATTAGTGTCGGATAAAGTTCGTTGCAACTCAAGAAAAAATTGTTATCCGTCACTTAATATTACGATTTAATAATATTTTTTAAAGATTTTAAGTTCGATTCTTACAAATAACAAGTTCGGTACGAGTTTAATATAATTAGCTTGTTGTGTGGCTTAACCGCAAATTGTGCACACTTTACCATAAGCAGTGCAAGGTCCGAGAAGGAAATTAGTTGTTTCTTTCTTGTGATCAAGGTCTAAAATATCGATGATATCGGAAATATCAATAGTCCAAAAACATGAAAATTTCAATGGAAATATCGGGATATTATCGATATCGATAAAAATTGAATAAAAACCACGGAAATTGTAAGAAAAACTTGGAAATTTTTATTGAAACTTTGCAGGATGTTTATTTAGTCAATTATCTATTAGTTTATCACAAAAAATTGGAAGGAAATGCATTGAATGATGGATTTAACTGATTTAAGTTGATTATATAGCGAGCTGACAAACATTGTGAGTGTAGAAAATATGTAGTAATTAATGAAAGAAGTTTAAACACACCATAATCATTTATATATAATGAATTAGTACAATATTTTACACTTTATACATTGCATGGTAAAATACATGAGTGATTTAGTACCACATAGAGTTCCTATCAAGGTCGAAAATATCGATGATATCGGAAATATCAGTAGTCTAAAAACACGGAAATTTCGATAAAAATATCGGAATAATATCGATATTTTAGACCTTGCTTGTGACTAAGACCTCCATCCATAATGTGAAAGGGGGTGTAGGGGCCACTATATGTTTTAAATTTATGATTGGTGGGGTGGTTCCCTTTAGACACATGATTCAACAAATAAACTATAAACGGAGCATGCAAAAGTTTGTGATGATTGCTTGTTAGTTGTTGCCACTAAGAAACATGTACTTATTTTTTCTCTGCGGGTGGCTGCGGTGCAATTTTCAATCTTACATATTTTTAACCTTTTGGTTGAGAAATGTACGAAATGACTTCAATATAACCACCTACAAACCATTTTGATTCAAGTTTACCAAACTCTTATCATGATCCTTTCGACATGTTACAAACTCGAATACTACGTCGAGTAAAGAGTCAAACATATTATATTTATATTAGAACGATAGAATAAAGGTTGAACATAGGGTCGAACAAGGGGTTGAACATCAAGACATTTTTGGTTAGAAAAATGACCAAATGGTTAGAAAAAATCTAGCTTTAGGTTAGACAATACAACAAATAGCTATCACTCATTAAACGAGGTCATTTGATATATATAGTCCCCCTCATTTTTTCCACTTCTGAATTTGAAGTAATATCGAAGATCTACCATACAATTAGCATTGTACATAATGCAGTTGGAACTTTACAAATGACGTCAACGTTGAAATTTGACTAAAATACTTACAAATACTTGATATTATCAACATCTAACGATCAGATATATGTTGTAATGACGTCACATAGTGATAGTATTAAGTATTATCGTAGCCAATTGGCAAAATTTGTGCTGCTTCTCCCAATTATGGGGGAGAAAGATTACTGTAGTTTTGTCGTTGGTGACCTTTTGGTCTGCCATGAGAAAAGAGTAGGTAGGTCTGATCAAAACGGCAAAGGCTAGGGGCTGGCAAGGCATGTGACATGAATGAGTGATAGAGGGATGGAATCAAAACCTGGCGTGCAAGACAAGTCAAGGACAAGTCATCATATATTCTCTCTTTTTTTTTTTTCAGTCTGCCTACGTGTCGCAACCAAATTAAAGATTGCTCTTCCATTTCTGTCCCAATTGCTACCTGGCGTGGGGCCTCAAATACACTTTCTTATTCCTTTTGATTACCCTAAAATCATCACTTAGTTTTACGGTTTATTTATCTTCACATATAAATACTGGTGAAACTTTGACTTTCGTAGGTGATGAGTTCAATAATAAGGCTGGCTATTGCGTAATTTAATTTAAACTCTTCACTTCTTAATGTAAATATAACGTTGTTTAAAAAATACCTAAAAAAAAAAGAGATTTTGCCTCTTTGTGATTGGAAGTTGGAACTCCACAAGTGACAAACCACGTTTTTAGATTTGTTGGGACCAAATCTTAGCCAAACAGTTTACCAACATAATTTATTAGGTCGTATTTTCAAACGATGAAAAAGAAAGAATTTATTCTTACAAACAATGAACAAGTTTGGTGAGAATAAATGCTTTCATTTTTAAGCTTCTTTTGAAGAGATTGTAGAGATAAAAGAAATGCTGTCACTTTTAACTTTGATGTCCATGGCAAATTTCTTGAAAACTAAGCACTTAAATCACTTTAATTGCCCACATTGGCCTTATTTGGCATGCTATATATTACTCATCGAATATGGTGTTTGGCACATTATGTATAATTTTAGTACCGAACTATGTTGGTTTGGTATTGTTGTGCTTTGAAAAAAATTATTTCTGCTGTGCTGTGAGAATAAGCAGTTGTGAAATAAAGTAGCAGAGTGTTTGGTAAACTTTTTTGTAAAAGTGCTTTTGGAAAGAAAAAAAAGCAGTATTATAGTGTTTGGTAAACTTTTATATAAAACAGCTATGACTGTGTGAAATGACAAAAAATGGTATAATACTAGAAGTGCTTTTAATTTAATTTTCTTAACAAATGAAGGCGAATTACTAAATATACTCTATTTTTTTCAAAGCACAACAATATCAAATCAGCCATTCAATAGCACTTATGAACAAAAATGGTTTCTAAAGAAGCAAAATCCCACACCAAACTGAAACCTATCTTGTTATCCAGCATTTCATACTATGCTACTTTTTGCTTAACTACTTAGCGTAAGCATTTCAGTTCAAGGTTCGAAGAAAAAACCAGGGATATCTAATGTAACAAAATTAACTTTAATGAATCTCAAGATGCCATGCATCAAGTCACAACGAAGATCACCTTACACATACAGTAGAATCTAAGCATTTGGAAACTTAGCAACACACCATTGTCAAAGAATATTGAGAATTTCATTTAGAGAAAAGAAAGGGCAAGTCTCAAGACAAAACACTACTACGAAACTCTTTATTAGTGTCACTATGATAACCAACAAGAAACGTATATTACTGTCAGATATTAAGCAAAATCCGACAGAAAATGGACACAATGACGGATATAATAAGCGACGGAATTGCCAGCATCAGGAAATGAATTTTCTGACAGAAAATACTCTAAAACTAACAGAAATTGTGTCGGATATAACCGACATGGAATATATTAATAATGAATAAATAAAAGTATTCTCTGTCGGATAAAATCGACATAACTTGTGTCGGATATAACCGACAGAGAATTTATTAATAATAAATAAATAAAAGCATTCTCTGTCGGATAAAACCGACAAAAAATATATTAATAATAAAAAAATTATAAACCACTTTCTGAATCATTTATTTCCCTTTCAAGTTGGCCTCCTCTGTATTCATTGCATTTTCCAGCTTTGAGATGTGCAACATTCCTCTAAGGTACACCATATCTGTGGATGCAAATTTCTTTCTCCTTGATCTTGGACAATTTTGCACCTACAAAACAATTAACACATTGGGTTAAGGCCAAGAGCCTCACGCGTCCACGATGAATGGGGGGGCTTTGGCTGAAGAACCTTCGATGCCAAAGTTAGAATTTAGAGAGAAAGAGTGCTTAGAGAATTTTGGGATTTTTGCCAAAGTGTCGGAATGAGTGTTTGGTGAAAATGAGAGCCTATTTATAGGGCTAGGCCGGTCCACTTAGGAGAGAAAGTGGCCGGCCAACTTGTGGATTTTTTGTTGAATTTGTGGTTTAATTAGCCAATTTATTGGCTAATTAAATATGAAAGAAATAAATGGGGGGGGGGGTTATCAAATTGAATGACTAAGTTTATTTGGGTAATGAAGTGGAGAAAATAAGAAAGGTAAGGAGCAAAGGGAGGTGGCTGGTTTTAACTAGCTTTTGGGATTAATTTGGGTGACTTATTTGATATAATGGGTGATTAAATTGGTGATTAATTGATTAATTGATTAATTAGGAATTAATCCATTAATTAGCCCATTAATCTCTGTTTATATGAAATA